AAAATCAGTGGCTGCTTGCTAGTACAGTTACTCTGCTTGAAGCCCAATACACAGGCTCCATACCTTCCCTTCCTACCACATTTTTTTAAGTATAGCAAGTACGTAGAGTCCACTAATACCTACAGATCAGGAAAGAGTAGGTATTGCTGTGCAGCAGAAACATTTACTCATTTGTCTTAAATTCTCATATAAGTTTTCAGACACCTGCTGTCCTCTGAAGTACTTCATCTGCGTGCATCCTAAAAAGACACCTGTGTCTAGCTATAAATATGTTATTTCTTTCCAGTACATCTTCAATGTAGTCCTTAATAACGCAAAACCGAAACGAAGACAACAGCTTTTTGTTAGACTCTTTCATTCTTCTATACAAAAAAAAAACACTGAACAAGGCAGGAGTTAGTGTTTCAGCTTTAATTTTGCTAAGCTTTCCTTATTACTTGTTATCTCATGCTTATGTTAAGCACAAATACAGAGATTCCTGTCTATCCAAAGCCAGATTTTTGGCCCATAATGAATGCATGGTCAGAGTATTAGCATGCCTTTCTGTATTTTATGTAGACAGAGGATTGCTTTTATAAATCACTCAAGAAACATGGTACTAATATAAACCCCATCTTGTATATACCTTCTTATGTGCATTCTCTTAGACAGACTGGGCTGAAGCCAAATCTACCTGAGAGCACACTGAAACTATCATGTTCTGAGTCCTGATCCTTGTTTGTGGTAGCTGTGGCAAATGGGAGAAATTACTTCCCTCAGTTATTCACTTCTCCCTTCTATTGGACACTGCTGCTCTACACCAGTAGACGATATCTTGCAGCTTTCTGCAGCCTGCCACACTAGTTCAAAATAAGATTGACTGTCTGGCAAGTCACAAATCTGTAGAACCTTGATCCCTCAATGCGTATTGTTAGCTCAGAGTAATTTCCTGCATATAAAAATCAAAAGTATTAAAAAATTGGAAAGGAGTACGTGTTTCAAACATCAAGGTTAAAGGACAGTTGGTGTTTTTTGTTGTTAACCTGAAAGACAGTAATCATAAGAATCTCAGAATCAGAATTTTGAAATATTGTTCTGATAGTGTTTTGATGATAAATATTAACTTGGGAACTAAGAAAGACATATGGCCATTGACATGCAGAAAACTAATTAATACACTACCAGTTGCAGATTGCAAATGTATGTTTACTAACTAATAGGAAAAGCAGTGTTTATAGGTTAATTTCATTTTAAAATCTTCTGCTATTTTGGAGTTGGGGACTGAAGTTAACAGCAGTACAGGCTGACTGGAGGTGTTTTAAAATGGCATTCCTTCATACAAACACCGGACTACATTTCAGCAGATGCAGGGTGCTGCTATCTGCTGGAAGCAGGTTTCCTTAAATACCATGAAACTGATAGTGTGGTGTAATGTTTTTGTATTAGTTGGTTCTGTTGTTTGGGAACCTACCGGGCTGAATTCAGATCTGGACACATGAATTCCTACGTTTGAAACCAATTTAGAAGATTCTGGCTTGAGCATGTGTTTTCATTTGAGGTAGCAGACTAGCATTTGAGTCTGTGTGCTTAAAGTTAAGCATCAAAATTAAGCCCCCAAGCAACTTCAAGAAATGTTTAAGAACATGAAGTGCTTCTGTTAAGTTCTGATGGTTGACAAAACTGAAGATGCAGTAAATAACCTCTGTGTGACTGTCCCTATAGCCTAGGAGTGAAGGTGAGTGTGCACACACAAGGTGCCATCAGCCAGCCTTGCATCCCACACAAAATGAGAGTGATAATGCATGTGTTAAGAAACTTCTCTGCATTTGAACACCAGCCACTTGTCTAAGAGACCCAGATGACTGTCCACTGAAAAGGAGCTGCTCTTCAAATTATTGGGTGTTCAGATACCTTTGGAACGCTTAGAAAGCAAAACAAGAATAAAAAAGCAGTTTGCCACCATGATGGTGGATAGTACAGCCCTGATGGTGCTGGTGATGTGGCAGTACTCACTAAAGAAGACTGTAATAGAGGCAGCAGTACGGAGGTATGGAGACACTGTAACTCACTCATGGGCATTCATGTCAAGAAGGATCCGTGATCTCTTGTACCAGACTGTGTTCCTGCCTTGGCTTTGATCTGCTACAGTGCAAAAGAGTTGTTATCCACATGCAAAATCTATGTATTTTAAGCAGCTTAAATGAACATCTCTGCTAGGACTGTGACTTCACAACCATTAAGACTGAGAGAGTACTGATGGCTATCACCAGCTCAAGGGAGAACCAAGTCAGCAAGGACCTTTGAGATGAAAATCAGTGTCCATGAAGCCAAAACACCTCTTGGGAGCTCTCATCTTTCACCTGTTGTTTATTCCAAAGTTCCCGTTCCCTTCAGCTCTTACATGCAGTGTTTAATAAGGGATTCATTGGATAAGAGAAAGGCTATTCCTAATCTGATTTTACAGAAGATGCTAAGATGTATCCTTCGTATTCATAATGCTGTTATCTTGCATCTATCCTTCTACCAGTTTGTTTTTAATCTCTTATTAACATAATAAAGGAAGACAAGTGACTGTATTTCCCATTCGTCCTTGGTTGTATGGTGCTGGAAGTTTGATTTCAGTGGATTTAGCATCAGCTTAACCTGATTTGGGGTTATACCCTCAGTGTCTTCAAAGCATTTTAATAGTAGAACACACTGATGTGAAAAATGCATTTCAGAGACAAACAATTATTTTATTGCTTTGTTTCCCCCCCAATCCAGTGTACAGTAAGCACTGTAGCATTTAAAATATTTTCTTGCATAAACTTACAGAACATCTCTAAGCTGAAGTGCGTACTAAATTAGTCTTGCAGTTGGGTGAAAACAATTGGAAAGGATGCATCTTCAGTCCCTCATGTTTCTTTCAGACTAGAGCATCCTGGCAGGGCTTTTTTTCATTAGCAATAGGCTAATATGGTTTTATCACAATTAAAAGTGCGAGAGTTCACAAATGCTAACTTTGCAAGGAAGGTTATCAAAACTTGAAAGTGTATTCTGAGAGATGTCTTTTTTTATTATTATTTGTCATTTCATATTAGGTATGGGCAACTTTTTGAACAACTTTCTGAAGAGCGTGCTCTAGGAAAGAAAACTAGTTTGTGGGGGAATTACTGTCTCCCAGTATTAAAGAGACATTTCGTTTGTATTAATTTAGGTACTAACTTCAGTGATAAGAAATATGTCATAAACCATACAGTGCATAGAAACCACCTGTGATTGGCATGGTTTGTTCTATTTATTTTTTATTTTTCAGAAAATGCTCTGTTATCTTATTTAGTGCCCACTGCTTAGGCTTGTGATACCAGTTCTCTCTCCTTGTGTAGAGATTTGCTTGACACAAGAAGTTGTCGTTTCTGTGAAATAAGCAGTTGCTCATTACTAGCAAAATATAGTTATTTTACAGTTATTTTACAGGCTGAGCAGTCAAAAGAAGAGCAGAAGCAAGGCTTAAGTGCTGAGAAACTGATGAGGAAAGCTTCGAAGGATGTATGCCGGCTACGGGAGCAGAGTCAGAAAGTGCCACTACAGGTGCAGTCATTCAGGTAGGACCTGTTTAAGGCTTTTCAATGCTCTTTTTAGTGTAGTTAAGTAACATGAATTTTTCTAAACATAATCAAACATGCACACCTTTGAGTTTCAAGAAACACCACATATTTCAGAGGACTGGGTAATTTGCTCACATGACAAAGGCAGCAGTGTGTCTCTGAACAGTGGTGATGGTGAGGAAGCAGGGTGAAGAGTTTCAGACCACTGTGGGCTGCACGTGCATGCCTGCTGTCAAGGCTCTGATGACCCACACGTCAACAGCGGGCTTTTCAGGTTTGAGTGGTGCACACTGGCTTATGACAAGTAAGAATACCACATGAACTGCTTCATTTACCTTCTGCTGTTTCTGTGACCAAAAGGAGGAGAGAAATACAGATCTTCCACAAATACAAGAAGTCTTGAGCCAGGCAAAACTACTGATTAATCAGGTTCCAGAGCAGATGCATACTGTTCTACTTTTCTTTTAGAGGAGATTTGTTTCAGGCACCAGGCATCATCAAAAAAGATACTAATCCTTCCCCTGCATGAAGGATGTAGTAAATCTCTGTCCTCATCTATCATCTGATCACCACCAGCATTAGCCAGGGAATCCAGTTTATGAAGTTAATTTTTACTCTGTGCTACTGTTTTCAAACAGAGTTCAAGCTCAGCGAGGGAAAAACATGGTTTAGTCTGTTGGACAAATAGGCATCTCCTGTGGCCAAATTGTACTCAACCTGTTAGTTGGGCTTGGTATAATGATGCGGCCTCAAAGACATATCACACACAGAGGCATTTTGAAGCTCTCAAGAAGAATGGCTCTTCTGAGTTTTGATTTGTAAGCCCCCAGTATTTATCGTCTGCTTCTGGCAGACAGGCACATATGAACTTGTTATGCTTCAATAATATCTCAGTTCATAGGAGACAAATGGTAACAGCACAGTGGAAGCAACTGCAGAATGGGATGGTAATTCTGCTTCTTGCCCAGACCTAATTTTTAAGTTCTCTTTTTCCGTTTCCAAATTCAGGATCAAATGTTTTGTTTTTGTCTCCTCCCCTTTTCCCCTGAAATATCATGACAGAAAATGCAGTCATAAGAGCAGTATGTCAGTTGTGTCATTGCATTTATTACAAAAACATTGGCTTTGGGAGCTGCTTTTTATATGAATGCGCTTAAGAAGGAAATTATATCAGAATGCCCTTGCAACCACGGTTGTAAATAAATTCAGTGTGTTTTCCAAGCCTATATTTTAAAAAACCATGCTGTAACATTAGCAGTTCTACAGTAGATGACATTAGTCATGCCATAAATGGTAAAATACTAACTTGTTTTGTTTGGTAATTTCAGGGAGAAGATAGCATATTTCACAAGAGCAAAGATCAATATACCAGCCCTTCCAGCTGATGATGTATAATTATGCATATTCATTCAAGTGTTTTTTCCATTGCTCATCTTTTTTTTTTTTTTAGATGAACTTCATATTTCTAGTGACCTGCTTTTACAGCTCTTCTATTTTACATTCAATATTAATACGTATATTTGTAAAATACAGCGAATTGAATTCTTGTACATCTAAAAAAAATGACAAAAAAAAAAAGGAAAACCAAAGTAGATCAATTTTGGTATACTGATGCTGATTTTGTACAGTTTGTATGTATTGCATGTGTTTTTATTTTGTAAAGATGGAACAAAGGAACAAAGGCAGTACTGAGCATGTATCCTGTTGAACCGCACTGTATTGAGAAATATTACGTTCAACAGAAGATTGTTTATCTTTTCACTATTTTCATGTGAGCAGACTGTGAAGATGGCCGTTTTGCCATGCAATATTTTTATATAAGAGTGTGACTTTTGTAGTTTGAAGTTAACTACAAGTGTAAGCTTTTTTCCAAAACATCAAGGCTGCCTCACAACAGCTGCTAATTAGATTCATCACCCACATTGGAGTTTTTGTTTCTGAAAATAAATTTCTTCTGTTCTTGTTCTGTAATATTGTATAGGGAGAGACAAAATTCAGTTTTGTGAATGTACAGTACTGTAACCTGCACTAAAAGGTTTCTTGCATCTGTGGGAGAGAGGGGAAAGACAAGGCAGACAAACAACCCTAAAAAATTCCTGTGAGACTACCGAAAGGGCAGCTGCTTTCTGAACTGGAAGCTGAATCAAATTGGTAATACCAACAGTGAAATCAGAATAGTTATATCTACTGTACTCTTTGAAATGAGTTTCTCTGTATTAGTTTTTTTTTCCTAGAGGCTGCCTTATTGCCAGCTAGGAGAATATGAAAGTGTTCATTAAGTTTACAATTATGAAGAGGATTTTATGGAAGTATTTGTACCAGGAGAAAAGTTTGTCCCCAGTAACTTGGATATCAGAAGTTTGTTGAAGTAAAGTCTCTCTGGAAAAGTAAAAATCCTGACTAGAAGGCGCCATGTATTTCAGTACAATCACGTTATCCACATATGCATGGCCTTAATGTCTCAAAAGAGTTATAATCGCTGAGAAAATGGAAGTGAATATAACTAACGTGATGGTAGCAGCTGTCTGAAATTCGCAGTGACAACTCTGTGATGAGAGATCTGTGTAAGCCTTACCCAAGGGCTTTCTTATGCACAAACATCAGTTCACTTAAACATATAGCCAGATGTGCTATTTGGGGCAAGATGACTGGTTAAACATCATTTATGAATGCCTCACTTGTTTTTTCTTGGTTGGGTTTGAGATAACATATTTGAAAGGTCAATTTAAGAAAATAAATAAATCTGGAATTATTTAATGTAGAGGTGAAATGAAGGTTGACAGTTTCAACTTCTCAATTTGATTATATGTTTGTAGAATGATGTTTAGAGGTGTACTTTGTGATTTTTCTTTTATTTATTTACAGTCTTATTTATGTTGTGTTTAATATAGTTCAGTTCTGGCCATAAAAATATTTCACGTGATGCTATTGTGAAAAGTATTTAGAGCTGTCTGAATTCTTGCCAGATTAGCTGTTTTTCCTCACGCATTGAATAATTTTCAAAAAAGTATTATCATATATTTGTAAGCATGGAGAAAGGTCAAAATTTAAAGATGTTGGCCTTAGCTCAAAAAACTCATTGCAAAATGTGTCTCGTTTTCCAAATTGGTAAAGTTCAACATATTTATAGGCAGCTTTTAACAATTCTGCTTTCTTTAAAAATAAATTTAAATTATCCAACCTCAAAACACTCAATAGAATAAGCTAACACATACAAATAATCCTGTCAGTTTACAATTATAGATATTACTCAAAGTAGAATTTACTCTGCACAGCAGAGTGTAACAAATGCAATTAGTTCTGTTTCCAGGTACCACTATCACTGCGGTTGCAGATATCAAAATTAAATATTACTGGTACAAGAATATTTAACCAAATGAGCAAAGGTTAGGAAAAAAATGTAATAGAAGGTAAATCAAATAAGAATTTTTTAAAGATATTGCTATGTTTATGCTGTATTAAATATCAAATGCTCAGGACTGAACTAAATATTTAATCAGGTTATATGCTGAATGTGGTTCTGTTCTAATTTTGTCTGTAAAAGTATGCAAATACATCACGTAGATTAACTTGTCTCTGCACTTTCCATGTGTTTCAGTGATTGGAAAATACATTTTTTTTTAACAAAGTTCTTTTCCAGACCAGTGTTTTATTCAATTGTTATTGCTGTTCTACATTTTTGTAGCAGCCATCTGTTGCTACAAAGAGCATATAGATTTGTCAGTGTAAACTCTTTGTGATTTATAGAAAGTTCACATCAATCACTGACAAGTCTTAGGATAAGTTTTAAAGAAAACGATGCATACGCTTGAAGTTAATTCTTTACATTCATCAAAGAAAAGCTGCAATAGCAATGAGTACTTTCCAGCAGACAGCATCTTGATACTGTTCAAAAATGCTGGCTTTCCACACAGTGTGTATGGTGGTGCTAGGATATATTCAGTCATACACACATACACACACAGTGTAGAATATTGCGTGACATTGAGGAAACAGTTAGTTTCAACTAGTGCAAATGAATAAAGGTCCATGGAATTTAATTTAAGGTTATGTTGTATTAGATTTTTGTAATGTATGTTGAACTGGCACTGCAAACCCCTTCAGAACTTTAAGGCTTCTGCTGCTTAAAAGTGTTAAGTCTCCATGCATCCATCACAACTTTTTACTCATTTAACATGAAAAAAGAACACCAACACAGTCAAGCAAATAAACATAAAAACACCACAAAGAACACAACAACTGATCAGATTTTGGAGAAAAACAGTGGTGACTTACATTAATTGATGAGCTATGACAATCTAATTAAAATTGAAAGTAAGTAGAAATGAAAGGAACCTGTACTGTAATAATCCCTCCCCCAGTCTTGTAAACAGTAGCCAGTCTGTTCATCAGCATTTTCTTACTGTAATACAAGAGTAAGAAAACCAAAAAGCTAGCATGTACCCTTTTTAAAGTCTTCTGTTTCCAGTCTCCACCTGTTGATGGTTGTCTTGCGTATCTGCCATTGTATACTGTTCTGGTAATCGATGGTCAGATGATAAGAAGATTGTCAAGAGAAGTAGAGAGCCTCCTAGAATTATAAAAAAGCCACCAAACCAACCACTGAACAGTGCATCCCCTATTTCCCATCTGGGCACAATCTCTGGGATCACTTCATCCCAAAATTCCTGGATTATCATATAGGCAACCCAGGAAACAGGAACTAAGACCAGAACTCCAGCTATCCACATGAGTATTCCTCCAAGTAGTAACAGCTGTTTCTTTAGCTTCTGCTCTATCTTTAGGCAGTCCAAACCAAGGCTAGAGATGACGAGGCTCAGAAGTCCTAGTCCGTTTGATGTCGATACTAAAATCCTGGAAATCCTGAATTCTATGGGCAAAGCTAGGAAAGAATCAAAGTCTTTACACTGTGTTCCTCCTACGTCTTGGACTACACAGGTTTGCCAGAGTCCCATAGTCCAAAGCTCCAGTTCATTTAAGTCTAAGCCGAGGTTTTTCCAGTCTGGTAAATAGTTACAGGTACCAGTTAAAATCCATCCTATTACAGACAGCAACAATCCAAATAACTGTAGCCTGTGTCTGTGGACCAAGTCCATTTTTAGCAGTTGAAGTAGCACTGAACTGATGGCTTTTGAAAACAATATTCTGCACATACTGAACGCTGGCAAATGTTAAAACAAAGCTTTATAAAGTATGAAATACTCCTCCCCCTCCAGCTTTATGTTACCTGGTTTCATGGGCAGCATTTAGGGGATAAGGAAATAGTGTGGTAAACCACTAATTGAAGGGTGTGACCACTGCTGGGCTCACCTTTCATTAGTCTGAGTTGGTTAATATTTGGGTTTTAGTTATATACTTTGCTTTTCATCTATCTGCTAGAGCACTGAAACATTTCTGCAAATTTTGGCATCTCTTAGTTTCTTATTAAAATAAGAACCACAAATGCAAAGTACTTTAATACCACATTGATACATTCCTACTTAAATAGGCTGTCCTCATTGTGGCCAAATATCATCTACCTAAAGGTTCTGTCTTGAGAATGTTTTGCTGTAGGTGAATGGAGCCTGAGAAGCCTTTGATAGGATGCATAAAACCTCAGTACCTGCATCAGAACAAGACAGGATAAGTGTTTTTTGTCTCTAAGCCTATTTTTGGTGGGAGTTTGCAGATGCCAGAATGCTCAGAATAACTTGCATGAGCAGTTTTATGTGCTGGGCTGAGATCGCAGACACAACTTCTGGGGTACAAAGTACCACATCATAATATCCCATGCACAAAAAGACATCTGCAAATCGTGGTAGAATTTCAGAAATCTGCAGTTTGCTTAGCACAATTTGTTTGTCCACAAAAAACAATCTGGAGCAATGCATGCATGTAGAGCATTAAGGATGTGGAAAAAAGTTCCTACGTCACTACATTAGGCAAGTGGAAAATTGCGACAGGGAATCAAGCTTTGAGGCTCGGTTAGTTGATTTCATATGAAAAGGAAGCTTATTTTGGTTAAAAGCCAAAATGCCATGGAACATGCATATTCATTTTCAGAAATTTACCGTGCAGTTGAGAAAACAAAAACAGCTTTTCTACACAGTCTATGAAAAAATAAAATTCTCCTGTGAAACATTTTAAATAGTTCTGCAGGTGAGAAAATACACCAGTTTCAGATACCAGTTATGGAGAAAACATAAGTTTAGGAAACCAGCTAAGTAACAAAGAGTCCTTTGAATTACTACTGAACAAGCTGCTGGCTTGCACTAGAGTTTGGAAAAGATAGGGCAATCTTTCTGTCCTACTTAAAGCCTTTGGTTTTAAGGCTTAGTTTCAGTTTCCAAGTGTTGACACTGATCTTGCTGTTCTGTTACTGCATAATGGACCGGAGATGGATGGAGTTCAGTTGAGCAGATTGTGCAGTTAAGTAGGGATCCTCCTAGTATAAGACAAAATCCAGCAAGCCAGCCAACAAATAATGCTTCCCCCAAATCCCACCTGGGAACAATATCTGGTAGATTCTCATCCCAAAATTCCTGGACTGTGGAGTGGGCAACCCAAGAAACTGGGGCAATAGCTGTAATCCCCGACATCCAGAACAGCATTCCTCCAAACAGCAACAGCCGTTTCTTGTGATTCTGTTGTCTTTCACCAATTTTCAAACAGTCCAACCCAAATCCTGAGAACAAGAGGCCCAAAAGCCCCAGTCCATTGGAAAAAAACATCAAAATCCTAGAAATCCTGAGTTCTGCAGGCAAAGCCAAGAAAGAATCAAAGTCCTTGCATTGCATTCCCCCTTCTTCTTGGACAACACAAGCTTGCCAGAGTCCCATGGTCCAAATCTCCAGTTCGTTCAGTTCCAAGTTAAGATTTTTCCACTGAGGTAAATAGGTAGTGAGACAGGATAGGACCCATCCCAACAGAGATAATAATATGCCACTTAATTGCACCACTGGTCGATAAACCAAGGCCATTGTAAGAGTAGTCCTAAAAGCTTGTGGAAGAAGGTTGCCCCAGCAGTTCTCTAACAACTGCTGTCTCGAGTGGTGGTGGAAGCTATGATGATTTTAGTTCTCTGCTGCCCCAAATATAAGCCCTTGCTATTAACCCTTTGTAAGCTCTCAAACACTTTTTTGTTCTTCACGAATATAATGTTTCACATAAAGGACGAAGGACTTCACTAAACCATGAGTTAGTCTTTCCGATAAGGATTTGATCTGTTACCTTCCAATTTGCTTGGTAAAATTATATCCCAATGCCTGATGATTACAAGCCTGAGGATGAACAAAGAAGGCTCTATGACCCCTCACCCTAAAATACAACAGAAATCTTTGTGCTTCGATACGGATTAATTAGATTTTAAGTGGTGATAAAAAGTCAGCTCTGTGAGCAACAGGACTTCATTGTAATAGCTAAATTTGAGATTTCAGGGATGTAAATCAAGGCCTTGTAAAGAAAGGTAGACTGTTTGCCTATAATCTTTATTCTTAGGCTTCCTCAACATACATAACGGCTTATCTTCCACTGCTCTGTTTTATGTCCCAGCACTGTAAAAGACACTCTGTAAAAGATCCTTACGTTTCACATTTTCTACATTCATTTCTTTTAAAATGGGCTTTGTTTTGACTGACTCTTAAGGGGAAAAGGAGACGGGTATGGTCAAAGCACCGTAGAGAATGAAATCCTAGACATCCCTCTACCATAATGAACTCAGGCAGATCACCAGATGGTGTAAGCTGTACCTGCCTCAGGACTTCAGCAATACCACAGTAGCAGCTTACACCAGCCCAGTGTCCCCTTTCCTAGAACCCATGTCCCAGATGGCACAGAGCGTACACTTCGTGTCTGACAGCTTTTGGCACTCAGTGCTCCTAGGGCCAGGGGATGTCTGGTGCTTTTCTGATCAAAGCAAGATATCACTATGCCATTACCCTGCTAGCAAACCCCGCTTCTTTCTGCGGTCATGATAGCTATTCTTGTGCTTGTCTACTGGCTCAGCAGCGATAATATCTGCCTGCTATTCCCCCTGCACATGTCACAGCACAGCCTGTATGGGAGAAAGCTGAGCAGTGTAAAGACATGCACGTGTGCACAATCCAAAGGTTCTATCTGGTCTTGCCTTCAGTTGCTGGATGTGACAATGTACCAAATCAGACAAATTTGTGTATTTTAATTTGTACTTGTTCAAAATAGAGTATGGTGATAGAAGAGCATAACACCATTTTTGAAGGTTTCCAAAATCCTGAAAGGTATAATTAAGAAACTTAACTGTGAAGTAAGTCTCCTCTTCCTCATTTCTGCATTATTCTGTGTCAATTTCTAACCTTTGCAATTTTACTGCCACAAGCTATGACAGAGCTTGTCATACAAAGACAGTCAATATATTTCCCCTTAGCTTGGGTACCAGCCCAGCTGTATGACTTATACCTGGTAAAAAAATTGCCATGCACAAGAGTAGGAATCACTGAGGACATTACTGACAACATGGGGAACAAATTGATGCAAGTGAGGCTCTACTTTTGGCCACCCACCAGGCATAAGGAGTAAAGAAAAAACCTTGCATTCATTCAGACTCCAGATTGCACTTTTAGATTTGGCAATGTGGTTTCTCTCCCCCATTTTGTGTTCAGAGCAAGAAAACTAGTTCTGGAAACCATCATGACATTCAGTGAGAAACTCCATAATGCCATTGGAATAATTTTTCAGATAAACAACTGCTCTTCAGGAGTGCTTCTGCTCATTCAGGAGCTACATGCTTATTTGACTTTTAAATCATGGTTACTGCCAATTACTGGCAGCCAGTCACGCTTCCCTTGCCTATGAACCTTTAACATTTTCTTCCCTGCTGTTAATTCCAACTGTCAATACAGTGTAAAAGCACAAGATCGGGCACATGAAGTCTATTCATTCTGCTAATGTTGACCATAGCAGCAGCAGTATGCCAGCCTTCACATTTTTGCAGTCAGAAGCACTGAGACTGCAGCACCAGTAAGATTTGCCAATTCAGCTCTGCAATTTACTGTTAACCACACAATAACTTAGAGCAAGCAAAAGCTTCCTTATACTACTCTGTGCAAAATTATAAAAGAATCCCTGTGTAAAAAAAGATAGGAAAGATTTGCTTTGTTGCCAGGGTAGTAACAAGGTCTGAAATGCCTCAACTTGAAACTTGCTCAGTAAGCCCATAAGCAAACAGAACTTGTAGCTGAACCAAGATTATGTAAATTCTTCTATCTTCTTTTACACTTTTCCTCTCTACCATTACTTATTTATTTCTCTCACATGTAGAAAATGTCGCATTCTCAGAAGGATCTTATTTTGGTCAACTTGTGCCTGTGCAGAAGCTACTGCAAATCCTAGAGGTTAAAACTGGGGAATGCATAGCAGCCACACAACCACCACGTTGATCTGCGTCCCAGCTCTGCTCAGCACCAGCTGAACGACCTTCTCTGTCACTGAGTGCAGAACTCCCTTCAGTGTCGGCCCTACAATTCAGGGTAATTTGAAACAAACTCCGTGCACTATGATGTAGGGACGACAGTAACGCACAGCCAGAACACTGATAGCTGCAGTGGCTCATTCAACACAGTGGAGGTGGCCGCTGCTGCCAGCCAGCAGGGCAGGACCACCCACTGGGCACTCGCAGCTGGTGCCATGGGGCGAGCACGGAAGGCTGCTCCTGGACAGGCCTGCCCCTCCTCCTGCCCCTCCTCACCTTGTCAGCAACTGTAGCAGGACCCTGTGTGACTGACACAACCACTCCAAGATGGAAAGTACAAATAGGTACAGCTACTGGTGAACAGCGTGCTTTCAGAAAGGAGAAGATGAATTCAGAGGGGCCTTTGATTCGTTTTTTGAGCATCCTTCTTTTTCTATGGATTTCACATAAAGCCTGATGTAAGCGACGTTCAGGGATATCACCCTACAATTCTTATGTGGCTGAAATGACCTCTGTGTGGAAATCTGATCTGCAGAGAACAGATTTCTGGTCTCCTCAACAGTGCCTGCCTCGCACAAGAACCAGCAGACTCTCTGTAGCATCACACCCCCCACAGCCAGGCACTTGCCATAGACACCCAGGCTGCACGCTTGAGGTGTGCTGCTGTTGCCATTTGACTGTTTCAGCAGTCAGTTCCGTGAGACATTAAGCTTTCCTAAGCCTCATTACAGCCGATGCCCATGAACACATAGCACAGGACACAACTGGATCCCTACAATTTCTGTAACAGTTTTAAGTGCCGGAGATTAAGCCATTCCTTCTAACCAGCTCCAAGCATAGCCTAAACTAAATGTTCACTAATCTAAAGCAGAATGGGGGTGATAAGCATGCATATCATTTTATTCAGCTGAGTGCATTACATTATTTTCCTTCCATTTCACATTTTCAGGCTGAAGACAAGGATTCCGAATCATATTGCAAATATATGTTTTCTTTAAAAGCTTTAGCACTACCCTAACTCTCCTGGGAACCTCATGGCCAGAAAAAAAATACCCTAATACTTTAACCTCTGAAAAGAGCATTAGGAAGTTATTGACTTTACAGAACTCTGCAGCTCACACAGTTAACCAAATATTTTATGTTCAGCATAAGTGGAAAGAAACATCAGGTGCAGCACTTCAGGAGCAGATCAGAAATTTAATCCCACAAAAGCTGTCCACGTACTACTGTAAGACTGAGACTCTTTCCTACACTTTCAGTTTCTGTGCAAAACATAAGCATGTTCATAATGAGGCTTTGTTTATTCTCCTCCAGCAGTTCAAAAATGTGCTCATCTCTGAAGGATAGGTGTCTCCAGTTGTGTTCTGCAGACACTACCATCATTTGTGCTAATTCTGAAGGTTGAATTGAAAAAAAAGAAATCAGGTTCCCTAAATATTTTCTGAGGCTTATTTAAATATCGAGTATTTTAACGAATTATTTATGGCTGTCTCTTATCTTTGGATTTCCATCCTGTTAATTCATATGCAAAAGATAGAAACAATAACAGGTGCATTGATTTTTGTATAACTAAATCTTATATAAGCCAGCAAAAAAGCAGCTAGTGCCAGAAGACACAAGGTAGTGTGTTCAGCATCTTAATACAAATGAGTTAGTTTATTCTGTTTGGCAGTCTTGTGTCTTCCACTTTATTACTCGAACTGGACACTGTGGAAGTTAGAATCTTCTCACCTACTTCTTATCCTGACTACTTCCTATTTATTTGTGGCAGTGGAACATCTTTCAGTTTCACATTTACAGTGTGCCCTTCCATGAAATAAACATCTAGTATGTTTATGTACTCTAGTCTACATTTAAGTGAAATTTGGCACCAGGACCAGAAATACTTATTTATGTTGATGGATCTTCAAATTTCAGAGTGCTTCAGAGAGCATCCCAGTAGAAAGAGAAAACTGAATAATTACCTACTTGCCTCGAAATACTGACAGTCATTGATTTAGCAACAGTGTGATAGTGGCTGTATCATGGCCTGCTAGCGAAGCAGATGGACCTGGATTTTATTAATTACTAAATTGTTACTATTCTCCTTTAATAATAATAATCATCATCATCATCATCCTTCCAAATTGTCTCCATCACTGAAATCACACTACCAAGTCAGATGCACTCTGAAACAGAAAACCCAGCACATGAACAGCTCACACCCATCTGAACCTTAGTGCAATCCATAGCAGCAACACTTAATTTTGAGCATTTAAAAGCCATCACACAAGCACTGAAAAGAAGCAAAGCAGAGAGGGGATAGTTTCCATTTTGGAAGAGGAAGAGAAGCTAAACTTTTAAACATAGAGTTGGTTAGCAGTGTCATTTCATAAAACATCTAACTTTATATTAAGAAGCGTTGATTTATGAAATTGCGTTATTTCTTTCAACACTACATCTGAAGAGTGCCTCTTAGCAAGTGCTAGGATGCTGCTGGAGCACAGATGGTTTTACACCACTGCTGTGCAGGGGTTGGCACATGGAGCACAAGACTGGGCTGAGGGCAGCAATGGAAGGTGAGGACTCAGCAAAAACGTGCCACCTCAGCATCCTTGGAAGAGCCAGGAAGGAGCTACAGAACCTTCTGTACTGGAGAAAAGGTACAGCCACTGCAGGCCTTTCTGAACAGGACCTCCCTCCTCCAGTAGACATGTTCCTAGATTTTCAGTACTGCATGGGCAGCCCAGCCCCACATATCTTCCCTCTTCAAACATTGCATGTAATTAATTAAGTACCCTTAACATGAGCCTATTAGATTTGCAAAAGCCTTGGTAAGAGTTTCACTTTTGTAAGATTAATCAAAATCTTGAAGTAAGAAGTCATGCAGGACTAAAGGCAGTTGGACAAGATCTAGAAGAAAAAGGAACTTAAAGAGTTAAGCACAGCAAGATGAAACTACCTTTCTCTGCTTGAGGAACTTATTCAAAGGGTTGAAATGAGAGAGGGGAGATTTGCCATCATTATACTGGAAGAATAAAGAATGCTTTAAGGCTCCGTACTTCAACCTTTGCGGAAACTTTTCCATCACCATCCCAATTCAGACTTCAAAGTGAGGGCTGACTGAGTTAGAAAATTAGCCTTATTCTTCAGGGAACTATTTTTGATGTACTGTCAATACAGGAGATTACTGCAAGTATGAAAATTCATGTCACTTGAACAGTGATTTGAATGTGATTTCCTTGAATGATGGAAGTCTAAGAAATTAATTTCTGAGCTGTAAAATATATAAGCTTCTTTATCATTATCCATCTCTTATTATGAGACTCCAGTTTAATAGGCTGTTACACACATGTATTTCAACTATGCTCTTCATCTAGCACCTGCAAACATTTATTATAATAAGCTTTCCCCTCATTCCTCAAGAACTGTTTCTTATTATCAGTAAACTTTCAACAAATTATTTGTAGCTCTCAGTAGAACCTGAGTTGGAAATTGTTATTGCATGGCAGCAGGGATTGCAAAGATAATATGGACTTGTTAACCATAAATTACAAGACTGAACATACCTTTTAACATCAGGCTAGTCTGGGTGTGAAATGAGCCATAAGAATGTCTGACAAGTGAAGGAACTGAGGGGCACCTGTGGCATTTTTCTTATCTGCCATAACTGAGATCTGAGGGGATGGGAGAGAAGAAGCTGAACAAATTTACTGTGGTAGTTTGAAATATGGTTATTTTTCACCAGATTGTCATGAGTTAAACTGTTTTTTATTTTTAAAGGTGCAGGGAGCTAGAAGATGCAGAAAGGGAATGCCTCTCCTAGCAAGCAACTTCTCTCTCTAATGCTGCAGAGCATTTTGCTACAAAAACAAGCTTTTCCTCTCCTGCGAATGAAACCTTAATAAGTTTACAGTTTAAAGAGTTCATGACATTCTGCCATTAACAAACTAAACCACTAATGATTATGAGTACTATTGAAAAATTAGGTATCCACCTCTTACTGGTATCTCCTGATACCTTCATCCTTGTCCCTTCCTTCTGCTCCTTCTCACCTTCCTTACTCTGTTTTGAAAAAACACCAAAAACTGAAAACCAAAACCAAAGTCTCTGTCTACTCCTGTTGTTTTAGGAGGACATTGAGAAAGGAGAGAAAGGAATCAAAGAGACACTTCAATGGCTACAAGGCAGAATGAGCTCACTGAAGAAGAAATGAGTGCAGAGAGGAAGGAGCAAGATCGATTTTCTCCCTTCACTTTTCCCTGGCCTCCCACCAACTGCAGCTACCCAACAACATACTAAGATGCCAAACACTGCCTGCAGAAGTGAAAAGGATGATGGAGAGAATCCACTAAAATATAAAACAGATGATATATTGCAAAATATGCTATAGCTGAGACAAGTGAGATGCAGGAGTTCTGATTAATTCTGCCTCAGCAGGTTCAGATAACGCCTGACTATGTTCCATAGCAACCCAGAGAGAAAACTGCTGAAGACTTCTAGTATCACGCCTATGCCATAATTATTTTCATTTCAACCAACCGTTGATCACTATACGTCCTGTAAAATTATCACACACTTTCTAAATGTCACTTGCATAGAAGTGAAATCTACCTCTGTACCACAGATTCAAACATTTAAACAGAGAACACTACCAGAAATTAAAGACATTGAAGAGATTTAGGTTCTGACTGCAAAAAAGCAATTGTGAAGATGATTACAATTGGTATTTCCCAACATAAAGAAAACTTCTGTTCCCTTGAGTAGACATCTGCTTTGAATTCTTTGGTCAGTCACACAAAAGTACTTAGTTTTTTCTTTAACAGTATCTCTTGCTGTGTACCATCCAAAAGCGGTCGTTCTGTAATATACTCATGTCTTTGTAATACTTTGTACAAAATCACACATAGACAAAGGTTAGCAACTGCATA